ATTAACGAGGAGAAAATTGAGTGGAGATATGTTCCAACTCAACAGAACCCTGCGGATATCGGTAGTCGAGGTACAACGAGAGATCTACAAGTCAACGAAACCTGGATGAACGGTCCTGATTGGTTAAGTGAGCCTGCGAAATGGCCGGAGCAATTACAGATCAAACCCAGCGAAAAATCTGAATTCGAAAGTCGAATGGTTAAAGAAGTGATGAAAGTTACCATTCCGAAAGAGGCTGATTTTGTCGATAGTCTGTTAGAAAAATTCCAGCTGTTAAAAGCAGTACGAGTTTTAGCATGGGTTAAGAGATTTATTGACAACCTGGTGTATGGCAAGAAAGTCAATGGGCCATTGGCAACCAAGGAAATGCAGAAGCAGATGCAGTTCCTGATTAAACGAGCACAATCTGAAAGCGAAATACTTGAGAACTTCAAATATGATTCCACCAGATTAAATCTTCAAAAGAACGATGAAGGAATATACGTCTGTAAAGGAAGAATCCAAGGCGAATATCCTGTGTATCTCCCAGCAAAACATGTTTTATCCGAAATAGTTGTAAAGCAAGCCCACGCGAAGACTCTGCATGGGGGAGTTGGTCTGATTATGAGCAAAGTTCGTGAAGAATACTGGATTCCAAAGCTACGAACTCTAGCTAAGAAAGTCCTCAGCCATTGTTATGGATGTAAGCGGTTTCACACAGCACCAGAACCTAGCCCACCTCAAGGTAATCTCCCGAAAGAAAGAACCGAAGGCATGACGCCATTTGATGTAGTAGGTGTGGATTACGCTGGACCTATTTATTACCGCAGCAAGAAGAATGAAGATAAGTCGTATATCCTCATCTACACATGTTCCTTAACACGAGGACTCCACCTGGAACTTTTACCGAATTTAAGTTGCGAAGAGTTTCTGGCAAGTTTCAAGAGGTTTGTTGCAGTCCGAGGACGACCAAAGAAGATGATCTCAGATAATGGGAAAACTTTTCATGCAGCGTCAAAGTGGATTAAGAAAGCTACACGAGATGAAAATTTCCACGTGTTTCTGCAGGATCATAAAATCCAGTGGCAGTTTAACTTAAGCAAGGCAAGCTGGTGGGGCGGCATGTTTGAAAGAATGGTTGGATTGGTGAAGAATTCGCTTTACAAAGTTGTTGGTTCAGCTAAACTCACTTACAAAGAGTTGCAAGATGTATTACTGGACATACAAATAGTACTGAATAACCGCCCTTTAACGTATTGTGAAGATGACGTGCAACTTCCGGTTCTCACACCAAACCTCCTGATATTGGGAAAAGCAAATTATCTATTAGAGTTGCCTACTGAAGAAATTGAAGAAGACGATCTACGAAGGAGAGCAAAACATTTAAAGAAGTGTAAAGATGCGTTATGGCGTCGTTGGCAAAATGAATACATGAGAGCACTTCGAGAGAGACACGATTTACGACACCACGGGAAAAGCGCACGATTGCAAGAAGGCGATGTAGTTCTTATCAAGGGCGATGAAAAGAACCGAGGCAAGTGGAAGATTGGAATCGTGGACAAACTAATACCTGGAAGAGATGAAATCGTGAGAGCGGTGAGACTGCGTGCAGGAAAGAGTTACCTCGAAAGACCTATTCAGTTTCTATATCCAATGGAGTTATACTGTGAAGCGAAGAAACAAAATCAAGGAGAACTGAATCCCGAAGCCAGAGAGTTTAGACCAAAACGAAGAGCAGCGGTTGAAGCATTAAGGAATATTCATCAGATGCAGGAGACTGAAGAGGACGGTGACTAATAACTTTGCATGGGTATAAGTAAAACTGTAAGTGACTTGATAAAGCGACCAACAGTTAGTCAAACTTAGTCAGTTTATATTTCAAATAAGGATTATTTAAAATAGGGGGAGTGTCTCGTGAACGTTTATACAGTTACATTTATAGATCAGTAGTGTTAATATTATTAAGGAAATGTACAATTTGATTGACACTTCGGATATAGTACATAACATGTGAGCGAGCGTTGACTTTAGAACGGGAATTATAACTTAAACAAAACGTGATATTATAAAGTCTTTACTTCTTCGAACCGATTGTGGGAATCAAACGAAACTTCATCACATATAGGACCAGGTGCAATTCACAAAAGGACATGTCTATGAATGAATTAAATAACCAAATAGTCAGATAGTGTCTGAGGTTCCTATTGGACTATTTCAGTATGTGCATGGTGTTGGCACCTGGCCATTACAAGACTATTTCTTCCTCAGCGGAAACTTGTTTGCAGGGGCACATCGCGTTACTTCATCCTCAGGTTACGACGTCAACTTAATTCACTAGCACTCGCACGAGCTCATGGCATTTAATAAGATTCGTGAGTCATGCTTAATGACGTGTTCTTGTTGGCTGATAGTATAGTCCTCAGAAGAATACCACTGCCAGGAGTGATATCAGATTCTTTCTACTTTCTAATTGCATGCAACCTGAGCTTGCATAGATGTAAACCCGTCAAAGAATACAATACTTAGCTAGAACTTTTTTCATTACAACATATACTCCTGCAAACACCCATTTTTGTCAAGAGCTTGACTCGAGAAAAAAAATATGTTTGAGTTAAGACCTGAGTGGAAAACAGGGAATTAACTTGAAATCAACCTCGTTCCCAGGCTCTTTCCTCTTGAAATCAGTCAAGCAATTTGATTATTAAGGCCAGGCCCAAAATTTGACGTAACTATCACTAGGAAAAAAAATTGTGAAATCCATACTATGAGATTTGCGATTGCACCACTAAATTCATAGTATATCCATACTATTTCGATACTATATCCATTCAAATTCCATTTTATTTCCAATAAAGGTCCATACAATTTCCATTCTATGGATTTTTTCCAGTGTATGTAGTGTATGGGCTTTCCCGGGCATTCTTTAGTAGGACTGACACATTAGGCACACATATTTGAGTGGCCCTGTCTTATCCTGGTTCTGTTAGATTCTTTGTGGAAATAATCTTAGTTGGAAATAGTTTTCAGAAGTTCAGTCTTTAAAACAACTACATTTACATATAGCAGTTTGTTTCATAAAACATATGATGTTCATTTGATGGTGCTTCATATATGTCTAATTTCTAATTGGGTCGAAGCATTTGTATTTTTTTAAAAAAATTGTGGCCTAGCTGTTTTGAACACTGCTACTAAATATGCTGAACTTGGAATGTTCCAAAGTGTTTTATTCTTGTTCTTGACAAGTCAAAGCTGAACTATAAAGGAGTTTAACTTGAAGACAACCAATCTCATTCATTGTTTACCACCATATTCACTCAGGTGCACACAAAGTTGTTCCCAGTTTTTATTGAAACTGTATCAAAAGTCGGTCCTGAATTTCTGCTATGAGAGTTGCATGTTTAATCCACAATTCATAAATGTCTGGTGCAGACAGGCGCATATTTGCTTCCAAATTCTTAACCTCAGTGCAGGAAATGGCATTTCTGAGCCTCAATTTTGCAAATTTTCCCCAAGGGAGCATGGTCCAAGACCCCCAGTTTTCACCGCTCCTATTCGATCTGCTAAGAAATCTGTTACAGTTAAATCATGTTTTGTGTGCCGTGTTTGCACTTGGCAGAAAATCTTAACTATGGTTCCCAATTTAGCTGGAACTGATTAGCCTCTCCAAAATAAAACCTGTTCCCCAACTTCCCCTGCCACTGGTTGTAGAGTACAGGAAAGTCGGTCCCAGATTGTCCGAAACCCCCACCATCCCCCCCCCCCCC